GAGCATGTAGGTGGATGCCCGAGCAGCGGCCAAGAATAACCTTACACAATAATATTGTGATTTTCACACACACACCAACACTATTAGTGCTGCTGTGTTAATTACGACCACCAACACCGGTATTTAGAACACAACCACCCAGTTGAGACGGAACATTAGTTGGAATGTATTAGGAGGGGGGGTAGAAGGGGGGGGGGGGGGGGAGAGCTAGGGTTTGGAGGGTTGCCCCCCCCCCCAACCGTGGCGCTGCGTTCGGCCAGTCAGGTTACTAGTACCATTAAGACAACCTGGTTCGTGGTTAGGTTTTGGCCCGATTTATTTATTAGGTTTTATTAGGCCCGATTTGCCTAATAAGCCAAGTTTTCCTGAATTTATATATTTTTCAATTTTGTTTTCTTATGAAATGATAAAGCTAACCATTTCATTGTGTATGAGTTGACTTGTTTTTAATTTAAGTTAAAACTAACGTAGATATATGACCGAACCTAACCAGCCCTACCTAACCTAACCTAAACTACCTCACTAAACTAAATAATTTATGTTCTTAATATAATATAATAATAATAATTCAAATATACTAATTGGGAACAATTTATTGAAAATAAAGAAAATCACTCGGCCTATTAGGCAAATCGGGCCTTGCATAGTAGGCCGAGAAGTGCGTTCTGGCTACTAGGTACGACACACACACACACACACACACATATATATATATATATATATATATATATATATATATATATATATATATATATATATATATATATATATATATATATATATATATATATATATATATATGTGTGTGTGTGTGTGTGTGTGTGTGTGTGTGTGTGTGTGTGTTTACTAGAAAACCATTGTGACAGGAATTAACGCCTTAGTCTTATTAAAGTTCCTATACCCAAGGCCAAGGGTATACTGTTTTCTCTACTAATATATTGTTTATATAACGAAATTTAAATGGCGAATTTTTTTCCCGATCAATTAAAACGCCGTAAAACTTACGTTATACGAGCATCGACCTCGATAAGCTAGACTGGTTGCTTAGGGACGAATGTCTTTGATCAACGCGGTCACTCGTCCAGTTACTAGCCAGACCCAAAGGTGCCTAAAATGACGGACCAAATGACAACCACATTAACCTTTGCGTCACTGCCACAGCCGCCCATACTCACATTTGTCACATATAAATGTCTCCAGCTATAACAAAGGTACATAATAACAGAATACGTGCTCGCACAACCTGTCCTCCTACCAAGAACGTCGCTTTTCGCTCGTATGCGTTACATAAGGCCAAAAACAGTCGTACTAGAAAATGGAAGCGGCTGGCGAAAGTGACGTACTGGCCCGTTTTTTGTTTTGGGTCCTCTGGTAGGTTAGGAGAGGACACTTTAAATTAACCGCCTGATGAGGGAACCTTAGGAGGACGGGCTGAGCAATCACGGGCAAGATTCACGAAGCAGTTACGTAAGTATTACGAACGTATACATCTTTCCTCAATTTTTGACAGCTTTGTTTACATTTATTAAACAGTTTACAAGCAAGAAAACTTCCGAATCAACTGTTGTTATTGTTATAAACAACCTCCTGGTGTTGCGGAGCTCATTAACTGTTTAATAATTGTAAACAAAGCCGCCAAAGATTGAGAAAAGATGGACAGGTTCGTAAATGCTTGCGTAACTGCTTCGTGAATCTTGCCTCACGTTACTAAACATGCAAAATACGCGTAATTCCACAAAGCCTTAGGAAGTAATTTTTTATATACTAGTTGTTGAGATAATTTTGGGGGTTTTTGGTGATATTTTGTGTAAAATATTCCAGAACAAAGCCATTTTAATCAGAAATAATTCTACAGAAGGCAATTGAAATATTGTTCCTCTTGAACCATTTCTAAGATCTTTGAGAATGTCCGAGCTAGCCTAGCTGGTGTCCAGAAAGTTGTCAGTACTGGAACACTCACCATGTGGGGCTCCAGCGTATCTGGGTCCCCGGCGCAGTTGAGGTTAGCATTTTCTTGACCTGCAAATTTCATTGGCATTTTGAAGGTGGCGTGATGGGCAATGGGAAGGGAGGCGTGTCTGTTTGTCAACGGGCGGGCCTGACGTGTCGGTGGGATCACTTAGTGTCGACGAGAAAACTTGGCGTTGACGTTTACGGGAAAATCTCACATCAAACAACAATTGTTGTCGACGGGCCGGGGAACTTGGCGTCAACAACGGGGAAGCCTACTGTTGATGGATGGGTTCCGGCGAGAGGAAGTCGCAATTTTGTCCTGGTCACCTACAGGCGAGGTTATAGTCTTGTCAACTGCTGTATGTTAAGCAACTAGATTTCTCTTCTGAAAGGGTACCGTTGAATAAAGGTCACCCTCCACGTCTCTGTTTCAAATCACTGTTGACTGTGGATCGACCCACCACGAGGAAGCCAGAAGCAGCTGTACGTGGTCCGAGGTACATACACACTATTGGTCAGAAAAGGAGTGACTGTGGCCGGGCAGGACTGCAACCCTCCCACACTAACGCCGCCAAGAAAGGCCAAAGTGCAACCCTTAGTTGGGTATATCATTGTTAATCAGTTTTCATTTAGCAATCAAGCGGCACTCTTATTGACACAAAATACTATGCAATTCAGAATTACTGGGCAACTATAACAGAATAACGACATTGTTGTGATAAAATTAAGATTATGATGCTGCTCAGGGGAGTGTGGCAGTTCAGGACCAACGACAAGAAAAGCACGCAGTTGAAGGCGCGGCAAGCGCGGGAAAGTCACAACTTGGCACCAGTTCAACGGTGCTCGGGCACTATATGCTTTCACAGTAGTGGTCTACGCGCCCACCTCGTTACCCCTCCTTTCCTGAAGGGTGTAGTATTTTGTATGACGTTAACAAGGTGGATTTGAGACTTTTGTGTCCGCATGGATAGACCGAAAATCACATCCTTTACCGACTTCCTGACCTCAGCCTTAAATCCTTATCCCGTAGCCATAGACCCTATTCCGTAGCCATAGACCCCTATCCAGTAGCCATAGACCCCTATCCCGTAACCATAGACTACTACACACACAAATTACAATAGCGTGATATATCAAATGAACACATCCACAAGGCCAATGATGAGGGTTTGAACCTACGCACTGGATGCTCCCAGACGCGCCTTAGTCAACTGTACCACCATGTACAGGTGGTGACGCTGTTGTCACCAAATCACAATAGCCATAGACCACTATCCCTTAGCCATAGACCCCTATATCCAGTAGCCATAGGCCCCCACTCCGTAGCTATAGACCCCTGTTCCGTAACCATAGTCCCTCATATTCTCCAAGCCATAGACCTCAATCCTCTAACCGTGGACCCATGCCCGAGCAATAGACTCAACCATTTAGAGGTCACGACCTCTCCGTAGGGTGCAGTCGTACCTCCACAGATCTCCAGTATCAGCTAATGATACTGGAAATGGCTCCAAAGGGCCACCACTTACGGGCTATTCATGCCCGTGCCACCTTTTGAGTGGCTTAATCTTCATCAATCATTCAATCAACCATTTAGCGTCGCCAGTGTTTACTTCCACGATAGTAATGACGTAGGCTACGGCGCCGCGGTAAATATAATAAAAATTTTGAGGATTTTAAGTTACTCGAGGACAGTGTTCTTTATTGATTTAATTAATATAAATTAACCTATATAGTAATTTTTTAATTATTAGGGGAAAGCGCCAAGCCATTACGACTTTATATCACTTGGAAGGGGTCAGGATAAGGATTTGGGATGGGACGGGGGAATGAATGGTGCCCAAACAAACCTATATACTATAGTAGCTTTCCAAGAATGTAAGTTACGCACCAGCAGTGTTACGTGTTCTATAGTTGCTCTGTTGTTTCTAAATATTTGAAATCAATGCACGATATCCTGAGCATTTGTATAATTTAGTGGTGATGAGGGGGGGGGGGGGGGGTACAGGATAGTGGTGGTAGGGGCGGGAAATTCCCTGTTATAACCATAGTCAAATAGTAACTATTTGTTCCCGTGCTGGTGCTGTGAAGGATCACCACGAAATACCATGTTGTTATTGTTGTTTTAGATTCTACTCTGAACAAAAAGCTCCAAGTAGCACGGGCTATGGTGAGCTCGGAGTGGACTTACCTGACACAGGAGCGGGGCTGTAACTGAACGATTTCATTGATGAAGATTAAGCCACCCAAGAGGTGGCACGGACATGAATAGCCCGTAAGGACCAAAGACCACATTCAATCCAAACATTTACCACCTCCGGGCTACTCATGCCCGTGCCACCTCTGGTGGTGGCTAAATTTTCATCCAACCAACAATCTGTGAGAGAGAACCATAATCCAGACAGTTGATACTCTCACTTATGCTGTTGATAATGCTGCTGCGTTGTCTTACAGGCTTCCCCTGGGGTTGGGGGGTAGAAATAGCCTAAGCTACTCTATCCCTTTGAGATGTATTTATTGCTTATCTCAATAAACATACTTGAACTTGAACTTCCCCTGGGGAGATTCTTGACTTTGGTAGCAATTATACGTATTATAGAGCCCGAATGTTCAAAAACTGTTATTCAAACTCATCTAACTACATGTATGTTTATTCAATGTATTTTGAGGTACTTAAATTGTCTCTTTATTTTCTTGGCTACTGCTGGTGTTGTGAGATTACCGGAAGCAAGGACGGTCTCGGAGGAACACAGCGTCTTATTTTTACGTAATTCTTTACTCAACCAGAATTAGTATTATTTTGTTCTACTCAAATGTAAACATTTGGTTTCAGAAAGTTCTCTATACAAGAGCTACAACCTTTCTTGTACAAATAATTTAATGTGAACCTGCTTGTGAAATATTTCACAAGCAGGTTCACTGTAATATACATATTTTGAGTGTCCTGGATCATTCTCAAGTCGATTGTGGTCCAGGACGGACCGAAACGTCGTCGTCCCTTCACCTTCTAGTGTGTGGTCTGGTCATATTTTGAGTATAAAATTGCGCGATATAAATACCAAAGAAATTTATAGATCCTGTAATTCAGTAGGCTACATCGTCGGCTTACACTCGAGGGTCTCTGGTTTGCTTCCGTGACATTAGAGAGACGGTTGGGCAGGTTTCCTTTTACCTAATGCCTCTGCTCACCCAATACTAAATATAGATACCCAGGGGTTTGGATAACTATATGTTGTGGGTTGTACCCTGGGAAATGTCAATATAGATAGTCTAAGGGGACTTGCATAAACCTAATACGGGCTTTCCTGTACCCGATAATGGGAAATCAATTAGTTTAGTGTCGATTGATTAATTCTATCCTGGATTAAAATCCAGAGTAATCTATCAAGAAAGCTTCGTTACTAATCCGTAATTTGCGTTAGTCTGGGTATCATAAACTAATTAGATTATGCAATAAATTTGTTTTAATTACATTTTACGAAAAAAAAATGACTGTACGATAACAGGAATTTGAACACGCTTAAAATGGCGCAAGAGGTGAAGGAACCTTGCAGCAGTCAACCTCTTCATTACTGCTCTAAGAGCTTCTCCTACATCCGACATTCTTTTAATCTTCAAATTGCTGTTATCATAAAAATTACGTAATTTATAATTTTTTGTATTAATGTGACCCTAATTTTCCTGTGAAAATAATTTGATAATAAAAATCATTTATTAAATAGTTTTCATTATAATAAGTCATTGTTTTCTTAGCAATTTTCAGAAATGACGGGAATGACAGTTTTTACGGAAAGATGAAAAATGCGAGGCGCAGTGCATGGCCCCACCCGGGCCGGCGGCCACCAGCTGCCAAGGGGTATTTTGGGCGGGAAATGCTTAGTCAGCAGTTGCTGGTCGCGATGCTGATAAACTCACGCGGAAGTAAATTCAACTTGGCATGAAATTTACGAAATGCTCAATTACTTATTGACGACTCACTGATTCGAACTCATAAGTCAGCAACGTGTTGGGGGGTAGAAATAGCCTAAGCTACTCTATCCCTTTGAGATGTATTTATTGCTTATCTCAATAAACATACTTGAAGCAACGTGTTCGAATGACTGACGTTCTACAAAGTAAAAAAAAAAAAAAAAAAAAAAAAAAAAAAAAAAAAAAAAAAAAAAAAAAAAAAAAAAATTAAAATAAAATAAAAAAATTAAAATAAAATAAAATATAATAAAATAAGAAAAAAATCATGCAGTTTAATATTCCAAATTTAACAATATTGTTACTGTTTTTTTTTATTAACAAGCTTAGGTATACACAGCAATGTGCTGCTACTGCTAGAAATGCTCTGCAAATCAAGGGGCCCAGAATGTGGAATGACCTTCCCAACCATGTTAAAGACTGTGCCTCTCTCAACCAGTTTAAGATAAAAACTAAACACTACCTAATAAATTCCCTGTAATCTACCTCACTCCTCTATTGTCAACCCATGTCTGTTATTTTTTTTTATTATTTTTTTTTTTAATCAACACTGTCAACCTATTGTATTTGTGCTGCTTTTTCAGTCATGTTCCCCCTTTTTTTTATCTTTATTTGTATTTGTTCTCAACACCTTTTATTCTTTATGCTCAATTAGTATTAAGTTCTAGATATTAATGTTTTTCTTGCCCGAAACGCATTGCGTAATAGTGGCTTTAGGCATTGTATGTACTAGCTCTATCTATATATCAATCCATTAATGTAACATCACTTGTATGTATATACCTTACCTGAATAAACATCTGATCTGATCTGATCTATTCTATATGAAAGATTTCACAGTGTAGATAAAAAAATAACTATAAGTTCGTCTAATATTCCCATCTCACAGAATCGTTAGTTATACATGGAATCAGATAAGAAAATACCAGCCTCAATACAAAAACAAATCAACTTTTACTAAAAATCAGGTGAGAACATAAAATGTAAAGCTGATCTATTAGCCTCCACTGGCAAAATCAGGGTACAGCATAAGAATATCTTCCAATATTCCTGAGTGTATGAAGTAATTACAGAGCTCAAAGTTCCACATACCATTTGGTCTGAAGTCACTTATAACAGGGCAATCACAGATATAGTGTTGGAGAGTATGTCTCAGCTCTTGTTCACATAGTTTACAATTGGAATGTTCACCATCGGAGGATTCATTACCTGCAGCCAAGTGCCATAGATATCGGTCTCCCAGCCTAATTCTGGCAATTACAATGTCACACTGTCTAATGGATGTTTTATGCTGCCCGTACATAAAATTTTATTTTCTAAACATATCATAGCTCTTTATACTCATGTTTTCTGGCCTTTGTGTGTCAGTGACTGCTCTTCTGTCTTCCTTAATTTCTTGAAATATTGGGGCTTTTACAGCAGAGATTGGAATGCCCATATCCAACTCAATTTCAGGCAGAATCCCCATTTCTTATCACATGCAGTTTTAGCTACCTTGTCTGTGTCATGCTGGACAACACCTATGTGAGATGGTATCAATACATATGAGACTGAAACTCTTGCTCTTTGCATTAATAATGTTCT